TACAGAGGGTTCCCATATACCCTTTACCTAACTTTCCCCAATGTAACATTTCATATAACTATAGTAGATGATGAAACTCTGAAGCAGATATTGGTGCAATGCTTATTAACTAAACTACAGAACTTATTCCTATTTCACCAGTTTTTTTGTTTGTTTTGTTCGTGTTAGATTTTATGTAGTCTGTAATCTCTGCCTTTTGATTGGATTATTCAATCCACTCACACTGAATGTTATTATAGTTATAATTGAATGTACATCTGCCGTTTTGCTCTTTGTATTCTATATGCCTAATTTCTTTATTGTTCCTCCATTACTTAAATATTTTCTAGTATGCTATTTTTATTCCTTTGTTGATGTTTTAACTATATTTTTTAGCTTTAGTTATTATATAAGCCCAACAGATACAATTTTATGATTATTGTTTGATTCAGTTGACTTATAAATCAGTGTCTTAGTTATCTAATGCTGCTATAACAGAAATACAACAAGTGGATGGCTTTAACAAACAGAAATTTATTTGCTCACAGTCTAGGAGGCTAGAACTCCAAATTAAAGGCACCAGCTCCAGGGGAGGGCTTTCTCTCTCTGTCAGCTCTGGAGGAAGATCCTTGTCATGAATCTTCCCCAGTCTAGGAGCTTGTTTGCGTAGGTACCCCGAGTCCAAAGAATGTGCTGTGCTCCTGGCTCTTCTTGCTTGGTGGTAATGTGGTCCCTCTCCTCTCTGCTCGATTCTCTCTTTTATATCTCTAAAGAGATTGCCTCAAGATACAACCTAATCCTATAGATTGAATCCTATCTCATTAACATACCTGCCTCTAATCCTGTGTCGTTAACATCATAGAGGTAGGATTTACAACACGTGGGATAATGACATCAGATAAATGGTGGACAGCCACGCAATCCCGGGAATCATGACCTAGCCAAGTTGACACATATTTTTTGGGGACACAATTCAATCCATAACATTCTACCCTTTGGCCCCCCAAAATCTATGTCTTTGCCACATGTAAAACACATTCACCCCATCATATCATAACACAAGTCTTAAATCAATTCCAAGTGCAAAATCTCATCTTCTGCAAAATTCCTCTTCATTTGTGAAATCTAGGATACAAGTTATCTGTTTCCAAAGTACAATGGTGGAAGAGGTATTAGGTAGATATTTCCATTACAAATGGAAGAAACCGGAGAGAAAGAAGGGATAACAGGCACCAAGCATGTCAGCAGAACACATTACATTAGCTGTCAAGGCTTGCAAATAATTCACTGTTCTCTGATACCATTTAGACAAGGGCCCTCCGCTCCAGACTCTGGGTGTTGGCCACACTCTCTAGATTCTGGGTGGAGGCCCCTCAGCTCTGGTCTTCAGCTCTGCCTTCCAGGTTCACTGGAACGGCAGCTCTGCTCCCTCGGACTTGGGCAGTCCCATTCTCCTAGTCTGTCTGAGTGGTGAGCCTACTCTCCCCAGCAGACACCATTCTTCTGCCCCTTGGGCATGGCAGCCCTGCCCCCTCAGCTTTGGGCAGTGGATCCAGCCTCATCCTGCTGACACTCATGAACAACAGCCTCACACTCTGAAACCATGTTGGTGAAGATCTGACTCTTTGAAATCTAGGAGGTTGAGGCCCCACCCTTTGAGACCCCAGAGGTTGTGGCCCTACCCATTGAGACTGAGGCAGCTCTGCTTCCTGTGTTCCTTGTCTCTCCAGCTTTTGCTTTCTTGTTCCTTGGCCTCTCTGCCCCTTGGGCCCTCAGGCAAGTGTTCCAAAGCTCTTTAGCTCTACCAATAAGTGCCGAGAGCACCCCACTCAACCAGGAATCCTCCTGCCTGAAGTCACTCACCTCTCTTGTTCTGTGGGTCGGCTCCCTCACCGTTTTGTGCCAGTCTTTTGGTTCTGATGCTACTTCTCGCTATCTGCTCCCTTTCCAGTGCTATAGCTCTTTTCACTTCCTTCTGAGCCCACTGTAATTGTCTTTGATGTCCATAATTCCACCAACAGTCTCTTCAAGGCAATCTTGGCTTTTACTAGTAGGCACTTTAAGGCTTTTCCAGCCTTTACCCATTACTCAATTCCAAAACTGCTTCATATTGGAAATATCTGTTAAAGCAGTGCCCTAGTCCCAGTACCAACTTCTGTCTTAGTTATCTAGTGCTGCTATAACAGAAATACCACAAGTTTATGGCTTTAACAAACAGAAGTTTATCCTCTCACAGTTTAGGTGGCTAGAAGCTCGAATTCAGGGTGCTAGCTTCAGGGGAAAGCTTTGTCTCTCTGATGGCTCTGAGGAAAGGTCCTTGTCGTCAATCTTCCCCTGGTCTAGGAACTTCTCAGTGCAGGGAAGCTGGGTCCAAATGCTCCACTCCTGGCTCTTCTTGCTTGGTTGTAATGAGATCCCTCTCCTCTTTGCTTGCTCCTCTCCTTTATATCTCAAAAGAGATTGACTCAAGATACAATCTAATCCTGTAAATTGAGTTCTGCCTCATTAACATAACTGCCTCTAATCCTGCCTCATTAACATCATAGAGGTTAGGGTTTACACCACATAGGATGATCATATCAGATCACAAAATTGTGGACAATCACACAATACTGGGAATCATGGCCTAGTCAAGTTACTCATATTTTTAGGGAACACAATTTAATCCATAACAATCAGTTAAGAGAAGAAAAAAAATTATACATTTATACTGCCTTTTAATATTTCTTCTATAGTTTATTAATTCTTTCTGTTTCTTTGTGTGGATTCAAGCTGCTGTCTGGTGTCACTTCCTTTCAACCTGGAGAACTTTCTTTAGTGTTTCTTATAATGCCATCTACTCGCAACAAGTTCTTTCTGTCTTTGTTTATCTGGAAATATTTTTATTTTACCTTCATTTTTTAAGAGTAGTTTTGCTGGATATATAGTATTCTTGGTTGACATTTTTTTTCAACAATTTAAATATGTCATCACACTGCCTTCAGGCTTCCTTTGTTTCTAATGAGAAGTCCTCTGTTGATCTTAATGTGATTATCTTGTAAGTGATGAATTGTTTTTCTCTTGCTGCTTTCAAGAGTTTGTCTTTGATTCTCAGAAGATTGAATATGATGTGTCTAGGTGTGGATCTCTTTGTGTTTATCCATCTTAGAACTGATTGAGATTTTTCGATGGACTTTTTATCAAATTTGGGAAATTTTTAGCCATTATTTCTTCAAATATTTTTTCTGCCCTTTCTCTCTCTCCACTTGTGGAATTCCCCTTGTATATACATTAATATGTTTGATGTTCCACAGTCTGTGAAGGTCTGTTTATTTGTTTTCCTTCTTTTTCCCTCTTCAGATTGGATTGAAGAATCTCTGTTTATGTGTCTTTAACCACTGTGCCACCAGGGCTCCTCTATAATAGATATTAGATGGTGATATAACAAGACAGTGGGAAATCTGCTAATTTTAAATAATATGATTAGGGAAGGCTTCACTAAGAAGATGATATTTGAGTAAAAACTTGAATGTTATTGACAATAACAGCTACATCCAATCAAAAATAACAAAAATGTGATAACTGAGGCAATTGGTGATTGGTTAATTTTACCAGCAAAACTTTCTAGTAGGTTTTAAAAATCAAATGCAAAACAAAGATTATAGTAATTTGTTTCTATAAGATCAGAATGGTGGTTTGGCATCATTCTGAGCATAAAAAAAATTTAAATGCTGTGTACATTTTCAGCTAATAAAAATTCATGAGGAGATTAAAAATAATCACTTTTAAGAGTTTAAGAAGAAAATGATTAAAATAAACACAAATTTTAGCTTAAAAACATTTTTTTTTTTCTGGTAAAAATAAAGACCTTAATGGGCCTGAATGAAAAGAAGGAGTGTCTCACTATATATAAATTTTTAAGTATGGGACTCTGGGTGATTTTTACCTTATTTATAACATTACTTCATAGTTTTCAAATTAAAAAATGATGAAAGAATTGAGTTTAGAAAATCAAGGCCATGAGATTCTTTTTTTTAAGCATTTCAAATTTTCTCTTTTCCTTTTTCTCTAGATATGTGAGTATACATTGAAATTGTCTGGAAGTATGCACACCAAAATGAAAATGGGGATTACATTTTCTGCTTTATTCACTCCAGTAGTCTGTGTTTGTTACACTTCTGCATGAATTATTTTCAAAATGGAATGTTTAAAAAGAAAGATGAGTTTAAAGATTTGTTTAAAGTTTTGATTTATTATGAAATAAACACATATTTTAGAATTTACATTTTAAACATATATAATAAAGACATTTGAAAAGATGATCCAAATTAGAATGTGACTTATAGAATGCTGGAATGAGTGTGTATTTTATTATAAGCTTTCAAGGAAAAATCTGTGATGAAAGCATAAAGGTTTCATTGAATGCTTTTTATATTTGGTTTTCAATAATATGGATTAATTACAGAAGTAAAAAGGAAAGCACAGAGAGTTATTTTTTCTCATTAAAATATTTTTATTTAACTGCTTCCAAAGTAAATCGGTATCTTAGGATGAGCACATATTTCTTTTAAAATGTCAATTCTAAAGCTCAAATTCAGCATGAAATTATCCTGAAAATTTCTAACAAGAAGCTAAGGTGGAAAATGTGCCTTTCTTCTTGTGAATTTGTGTAATGCTGACCCAATTGAGAAAATAAACAATGGCATGTGGCTTTTTAATTATAAACAGTACAAAAATAATTTTAATTTTCCGTAATTTCAATGAATTTCTTATAAAACACTTGGCAAATGCAAAAAAAAAAAAAAAATCCTGGACTTTCCTAATAATTACTCATGGAATAAATTTGAACAAATAAATGGGGAAATTAAACAATACTATCAAAACATTTTTTCCCCTCTGCTATCTTAGATAGACAATCAGAGGACTCAATCCATTTGTTCCCCTTTGGCAGTTTCACTTCCTAAGGTGTATGCTCATCATTATTTAAATCTTAGAATTGTATCCAAGAGGAAACTTAATAATGGTGACTATTTATTTTGTAGGTTTTAAAGAAGCTAGAGTACCAGAGAAGACTTTTGAAGTGTGAAAAGATTTCCTGTAATTGAAACCAAAATGTCATTTATAGATCCGTATCAGCACATTATAGTAAGTCGCTTACTGTTTATGTATATTTCGGGGGGAGGGGCAGATATATTTCTATGTATGAGTACTGTTAGTGCTGCTGATAAAGTAAAACTATAGTAGACCCTAGATTTTTTATTAAAATCATATGAATTTAATGTATATAAATAGACTATCATGCATAATAAAATTAACCCATCCCTTCTTTTTTATCACTATTAAACTTTCCAGAATAGAGACTTGGGAGAAAAAATGTGTACTAATACTGAACTTTCATGGAGCAGTAAAAAATGTAGTTAGCACTTACTAATTATCAGCCTGCATAGTTACACCCTCCACATGAATTGGTGGAGAGAGGATGAAAGAATTTCTGAGTTGAGGGATATATTTTGGTATGCATTTCCAGGCTAATTAGTTCTGTAAGTTTTCCGGTAAGCTATGCTTAAGCAAACTCTTCTACGGGTGTTAGTTTTAGCAAAGAGTTGAGTAATTGAAAATTTAATATGTAATTTTCCGGACTCCCTTGGAGATAAACATTCTCTTCTGATTAAAAAAAAAAAATAGAATTTTTTTTTTTTTTGCTGAATTCAACACTTGAGTTTCAATTATGGTTTATATGGAGTAGAAATAGGTTTTATGAATATTAAGGAATAATCCACAGTCTCATTTTTACTTAAAATGAAACAATATTCTTGTATCTTACATCCCTCTCTAGCTACCAACCTCTTTCTTGCTCTGCCTGGATGTCAATGTTTAATATAATTTTTTGTAGCTCCTTCCCTTCCATTCACAACTTGAATTACTGAAAACTGGACTTGGTCCTTCCACTGCATGAAAAAGCCTTATCAAGGGTCTCTTTTGTGCTAAATCAAATAGGTTTTTCAGGTTTGGGGGTTTTTAATTTTTTTTCTCCCTGCTTGTTGTTCTTTCATTCTTAAAACTCTCTTCTCAGATTTCTATAGTTCTTATTCCTCTGTTTTCTTGCTGTTGGTTCTTTTTCAGTTTTCTTTGTAAGTATCTCTTTCTCTTTCACTCTTTTTTAAAAATTGAGGTATAACATATATAAAGTGCATACATCTTAAGTATTCAGCTTGATGAATTTTTATATATGTATTCCACCCACAAAACCATCACCTGGATAAAAATATAGAACATTTTAGGTGTCCTGGAGGCTTGCCATGGCCTCTTAGTCAATACAGTACTCAAAGGTAACCAATATTTGACCTCTATAACCATGGATAAATTTTGCCTGTTCTTGACCTTCATATAAATGTCTGCATTCGACATTGTATCTGTGAGGTTCATTCATATTGTAAGTAGCAGAAGTCTACACTTTTGCATTGCCACATAGTATTTCATTATCTGAATATGTCACAAATTATTTATTTAGTCTACTAATGGCCATTATATCCTCACTGAATGGCAATGGTGACTTTGCTGTAAATCAGGTGACTATGTATGTGTGGAGCCCTGTTGACACAGTGGTTAAGAACTTGGCTGCTAACCAAAAGATCAGCAGTTCAAATCTACCAGCTGCTCCTTGGAAACACTATGGGACAGTTCTAATCTGTCCTATAGGGTCGTATGAGTTGGAATTGACTCAGTGGCAACAAGTATTTTTTTATATACGTGTAGCTTCGTTTCTGTTCTGTTATATTGGTGTATTAGTCTTTGTTTGCACCAATAGCAATGTTTTAATTTTTGTAGCTTTAAAATGTGTCATTATATATTATAGTATAAATCCTCTAACATTTTTCTATTTAAGATTGTCTTAACTATTCTTAGTCCTTTGCATTTTTATATTAACTTTATAATCAGTTTGTAAACTTTCACAGGAAAACAAAAAAGCAAAAAATACAAAAATCTGCCGGGATTTTGACTGGTAATATACTGATTCTGTAGATTACTTAGGGGAGAGATGACAGGACAACAATATTGAATTTTCCAATCCATTAATAACCTATGAATCCAATCCATATCTAATATTAATTCTCACGGTGAAGTATTACAGTTTTCAGTAAGAAATCTCATATATCTTTTTTAGATGTATTTCTTGATATTTGATGTGTTCATGTCATTGTAAAAGGTATATGTGAATTTCATTTTTCAAGGAGTTTCTGCATTTATGTGTAAATACAACTGATTTTTGTTTATTGACCTTGTATACAATAATCTTACTGAATTCTTTTATTAATTCTAATAACTTGTTTGAAGATTCTTTTGGATTTTCAAAGTATATATTCCTGTTATCTGTGAATAATGTCAGTTCTACTTCTTCCTTTTTAATCTTTAAATCTTTATTTATCTTCCTGGCTTTACTAATTTTAGACTATCTAGATGTATCCCCACAAGTTTTTAAATGTTCTATTTCTATAATTGTTCAGTTAAAATACTTTCTAAATTTTATTGTGATTTATCCTTTTATGTGTCAATTACTTAGACATGAATTTCTTAATTTGCAAATATTTGATAAGTTTTTTAGTTGTCTTCATCATTGATTTCTAATCTAATTCCACTGTGTTCAGAGAACATACTCTTTATGGCTTTTTTATTGTTTACAATATGTTAATACATGGTTATAGCCTAGCACATGGCCTATGTTGGTAAATATGCTATATACGCTTGAAAAAAATGTATTCTTCACTTGTAGGCAGTGTTCTACTATGTCCGTGAGGGCTACTTGGTTAATTATGTTGTTCAAAGTTTCTATATCCTTATTGGATTTTTGTCAGCTCATTCTATCAGTTACTAAAAGAGCTGTGTTAAAATATGCAAATATGATTATAGTTTTATCTACTTTGCTTTCAGTTCTGTCAAATTTAGCTTTATGAATTTTGAAGTTATGTTATTAGGTGCATACAACTTTAGGATATAGAATCTTGCTCAATCAATACTTTATCAGTATAATAGGTCCTTTTTTTAATCTCTACTAATGACTGTTATTTTAAATTTTACTTTATATTTTATTAACATAGCCCTTCCAGCCTTCTTTGGCTAGTGTTTGAATCCTTTTGACTTATATTTGTCTTTATATTTAAAGTATGGCTCTTGTAAAAAACATATAATCAGCATTTTTTAATCCTGTGAGATAAACTTTATTTCCTGAAACAATATTCTACTTTCCTTTCAAAATTATGAATATCTAAGATAAGTAGGAGTCCCTGGGTGGTACAAAGAGTTAAACATGTGGCTGCTAACTGAAAGATTGGCTGTTCAAACACACTCACAGGCACTTCAGAAGAAAGGCCTGGTGAACTATTTCTGAAAGATCACAGACATGAAAACCCTAGGGAGTGTAGTTCTATTCTGCAACAAGTAGGTTGCCATGATAGGTTGGTAGTATAGATAAATAAGAAAAAAAGAAGGTAGGTTATTTTAATTTTTTTCATATTAATGAATTGTTTTTATTACAATCTTACCTACAGATTAATTCTTTTAATTCCTTATTATTATTATTTTATTTCTCAACCCACTACCTCAAGAGGGGTGGATGATTTCTGTAACTCTTAGGGAACTTAACCAAAGTGCTCACTTTCAAATTTTAACATGAAATATGGCATTTGGAAGTGAGAAGGAAGATGGAAGATAAGATCAAGGTCTATAACCTTAAGCCTCATACAGAGACCAACAATAACTCCAAATCCTAACATTTGGACTTTTAATTCATTCTACCTCAAAACTTATTTTAATTTCTTATTGATAACTTCTTATAATTTATTTAGTGTCCACCGTGTACCACTCCACATCAATAGACACAGGGTATACAAAGGTGAATCAAATGCACAGAGTTCCTGCCTTGGTTGAGCCCATGTCTATTAGAAAAAATGTATAACATATTCATAAAAGAACCAGAAAAATCCTGGAGGAAGAAAAGGTCTTGGAATTAACAGAGGTAGAATTCAAAAGATTAATATACAGAGCTCTTCAAGAGATCAGGGAGGAGATCAGGCAAAATGCAGACAAGCCAAGGAACATAAAGACAAAGCAATAGAAGAACTTAAGAAGGTTATACAAGAGCAAAATGACAAATTTAACAGGCTGCAAGAATCCATAGAGAGACAGCAAACAGAAATCCAAAATATTAACAATAAAATTTCAAAATTAAACAACTCAGTAGAAAGTCATAGGAGCAGAATTGAGGCAATGAAAGTCAGAATTAGTGAGATTGAAGATAAAGCACTTGACACCAACTTATTTGAAGAAAAATCACAGAAAACAATTTTTAAAAAATGAAGAAACCCTAAGAATTATGTGGGACTCTATCAAGAGGAATAATCTATGAGTGATTGGAATACCAGAACAGGGTGGGATAACAGAAAATACAGAGAGAATTGTTGAAGATTTGTTGGCAGAAAACTTCCCTGATATCGTGAAAGATGAGAAAATATCTGTTTAAGAAGCTCGTCAAACCCCACACAGGAAAGGTCCTAAAAGGAAGTCACCAAGACATATTATAATCAAACTTGTCAAATCGAAAGATAAAGAGAGAATTTTAAGAGCAGCTAGGGATAAAGAAAAGTCATCTACAAAGGAAAGTCAATAAAAATAAGCTCGGACTACTCAGCAGAAACCATGCACGCAAGAAGGCAATGGGATGACATATAAAGCCTTGAAGGAAAAAAACTGACAGACAAGAATTATATATCTGTGGGGATATATGCCATTTAAACATGGCTGCACTATTGACAACTGCAGCTCCCCCACAGGCCTCTATGCTGCACAGTATGTTAAGACTTGTCCCCAACATGTTGAGACTTGTCATGACTTGTTTTCCCAAACCTATTGTCCCGTTACTGATTGGCTTGTTTACCTGAATTCCTTCTCCCTTGCCCGAAACTTATTGTTACTCACCCAAAGCCCAGGGGTCGACTCCTCAGAGTGACCCTCCTGGCCCCACTTCTCTGTAAGAGTTGTGTTTGGTTACCGTCTCCGCCATCCCGACATTCGCCGCCACTGCGACAGATGGTACCCTGTGTGAGGGGCTGCGACATATATCCAGCAAAACTGTCTCTCAAATATAATGG